AGATAGTGTGTATTTTCATCATCTTCTATGTATAAGAGATCTATCACTGTTTCATAGTTAAAGTTTGATATGTAAATAGGATAAAGTGTTTCCCTTTTACATTGGTCTTCTAATGCAAAAACATTTATAGTTTATTATTTTTTTCTACCTTTGTTATATCTTTTATTTTTACTGGGTAAGAGATATCAGACATATTTATCTCTTCTTCAAATGGTTTATAATTAGTAACTCTTTCTTTTTTTTTTATCAACGGGATGTAATTTAGCAAGGATACACCAGAGAAAACATTTATTATCTTTTAAATTTTTTATATTAATTAGAGAGGTTGATTTAAATTTTAGAGGGATATAAGATGATGCTTTTTGGTAATCATATTTAAATTGTTTTATGCTTACTTCTTTTATGGTGTTAAGGGTAAAGCCACTTCCTCTTTCTTGGAAGTTATCTAACCACTTTGTAAAGTTATCAAATATTTCACTATAAAACTTTGATAGATTGTTTTCTGATTTTATTACTTCTATTGGGTGGGAGTATTTAATGTCAACAGTTTCACCTTCAATAGGCTTGTTAAATTCTATTGTAAATAATAGTTTTAATTTAATAGGATATTTTTCTATTAGGATATCTGGTTTAATTTTATTTATAAAACTTGTGATATCAGTATCAATATATTTGGTGATTGTTTTTTCAGTTATTAAATTTCTGAAGGATTTATATGATACCATTTTTGTAGTAGGCATTTTTAATTTGGATTTTTTTCCGGATTTTTCTCGGGATTTTTTTTTGTATAATTTGGATTTCTTTTTAAAAATTCTTGATAAGCCTTTTTATACTTTTCTTTATTATTTTGATAGTGTAATCTTTTTTTAATATTTACACAAGCTTTACATTGTGATTGGAGATTATCTTTTCTTGATGTATTTTTATAATAATCTGTTACGGGTTTTTCTGTTTTACAAGTGGAACATTTTTTTGTTTCCATTTTTTTAAGAGAGTAAATTAAATATGATGTTTAAAAATTTCTCTAAAGTTTTTGGTTGTTCATTGATAACATAAACACAGAGATGACCACAGATAACAGTGTTATCAGGTTGTACCTTTAAAGTAGAGCAATAAACTTTTTGGTAATTTTTTGCTTTACGTAAATAAAATAAAAGTTCAAGAGGGATAGATGTTCCATAAGAGTCAAAGTAGATTATAAGATTTTTATTTTTTATCCAACAAACCCAGTGTGTACCAGGGTTTTTACTATGATCTAAATTTAAAATACCAGACTCTATCTCCTTGGGTATTTTATCTTTTAATTGATCTCTCATAAACCATCCTCTAAAGTTTGGATCTTTTACAAGATTTTCTAGATCTCTATTTGATAGTGCTTTATTATAATTTTTTATCCCTTGAGCTTTTAAAATTTTTTTAATCTTTTCCATTTTTAACCACCAAATAATTTAATAATAGGTGATAAGATAGGACCGAGGAGAGGGATATTTCCTATTACATCAGCAAATCCCTTTCCATGTTTTATAAAGTCTCCTTGTGGTGTTTGTTTATAAATTCCATCATCTCTAAAAGTTTTACCTACTATTGGTGTTATAAGTGATTGACCATTTTTATATTCTAATTTACATGCACATCCTCCTCTTTTAAGATATAACCCGTTACCAATTACATCTTTTAATTTTATATCAATTGATTTTCCAACTGCTGCTTTAACTCCTTCTTGTGCGAGACCAGATAGACTTCCAATAGCTAATCCTGGTAAAATAGTTTTTGCTGCTCCTGCTAGCATTGGTAAAAATTTACTAGCTAGACCTGCTAACATTGATAAAAATCCACTGTTTTTAATATTATATTTTACTTGTGTTTTAGAGAGTGTAATCTTTAGTCTTTTATTTTTTTGTTTTGCTTGTTAATTTTTTTAATTGAGTTTGAGTGATAAATAGTTTATCTCCTTTATCTAAGAGGATATCTGCTGGTTTAAATTGTAGTGTAATTTTTTTTGCTTTTTCTAATTTTTCTTTTTGAGAGGGACCGACGTTTACAAAGATTTCAGTGTAGACCATTTTTAATAAAATAAATTTTGATAAGTTTTTTTTTATTCAGCTTGTCTTAAATGTATTCTAATATCAACAACTTCATTGAGATTATTGATAAGATTTCCTTTTTGATCAAGGAGTCTTATTTTTATTCCTGCTAAAGGATTTTGAGAGATAGGGAGATAAATAGGATTGTTTACATCTTTTATAATCTTGTGACCAAATCCTACATTAGGAAAAAAGGAGTATATAATAGGTTGTTTAATAAGATTAATACTAGAGCCTTCAACTACATTTACTTCAACATTTATTGAAGTAACATTCATAATATCTACTACATTGTCTGATGTGTTTTCTCCTACAGAGATGTCATTGTTATTAAATCCAAGGAGTTTTTTAAGTGGATCATTTAGTCTTAAGTTAATAATAGGAGATTTTATTTTTAAAAGAGATTTAGATGTTGTTGGTATCGGCTCTAATAAAAAGACATCATTATTTCCTTGTATTATTTTTTCTAGTTCTTTTTTTATAAAGGTATTTAAGTCAGTTATGTTATATGCTCCATTGGGTATTTTAATTTTTTTTGCTGGTATACCCATGAGAGATATTTCTATTTCACAGTCAATTACATTTGGGATTGAGTTATAAGTTGATATATAATGGAGAGCCATTTCTAATGGTTTATCATAAAATAATTCTGGATTAAATCTAAAGTGATGTTCTGATCCTCTAAAGGTAAAAAAGAGTGATTGACTTAATTTTACTCTTTCCATTTTTTTTAGATTTAAATTTTAATATTTAATTTATTTTTTAATTTTATTATGTAATAGGTTATGAGTCTTTCTATCTCTTCTCTTGTTGTTGACATTCTTATTTTTTCTAGTTCTTCTAACATTTTTTCATCACAAGTTTTTTGACTTGTTTTTTGTGCGTAGCAGATATCATGGTGCATTGCTATTTCATCAACAGCATTTATTGGTTTGCTAAAAGGTCTTGGGTTATTGTTTTCATCTAATCGTTTTTTAAGGTTTGTTCCTGGGCCATTAAAGTTGTAACCAGGCATATGCCATTCTATTGCTTTGCCTGTTTTTATTTCTTTGTTTTTTCTTTTTATATAAATTTTTAAAAGGGTAGTTTTGAGGTGTCTACTTTTCAGAGTTTTCTGCTTGTTAGAAGGGTAAATGGAGCTTGTTTTTAAGTAGGTTGGGGCTTGTTTTTAGGGTGTTTTTTGCTTGTTTTGGGGGGTGTTTGGGCTTGTTTTAGAGGCAAATGGTTAAAAAGTGAGATCCTGTAAATGGGGTGGGCTAGGTCCCTCATTTTGCCTACTACTAGTAGTAGGCAAAGAAAACGGCAAGTTACCTCGTCAAACCAATCAACAGCATGTCGTGTGTATCCTACAACGGAAAATGTGGCGAAAAAGAAAATTACTTACCAAGAAAAAAGAGCACGTATTCCACATGACATGCTTAAGACAGAATTGTTTAGAAACAAGTCAGTTGCAGGAGTTGCTATAAAAGTATTTTGATATGCAAAAATTGAGCGTCCTCTTACAGTTGTCGACAAATGAAAAAAAATGCTCGACCGATAAGAGCAGTTGGTGTTCTCAAGTCGGGGAGAAAAATAAAATTTGTGTATTTTGGCTACCACACTTGTCGGAGAGTGACTTATTTTTCTGACTGGTTACGTGCATTGTGATTTGCGAGATAGTACCTGCGAATCAAGTTTTTGGCATTTCTTTCTGTCCCTGTTGTTCAAGTCTGAACTTACAGTGATTTATTCTCTGCATTGTGGAAGTAATCTGCAACAAATATTTCCTTTGCAATCCCAGAATGCTTACAATAGTATAGTAAATAGAGTAGAGAATAGTGGTCCGTATAGTATTAGAGGATAGAATAGAAATGAAGATCCGAATAGTGATAGAAGATAGACTAGGAATAGCGATCAATCTAGACATCATACAACTTCCTATATATGTGTTTCTTCTATGGTCACATGATACACTAAATTCAATAATGGGATTCCCTGTGTTCACTCACTGGCGATCTATGTTCAAACTCAAGTGTCTGCAGCGGCACTCAATTCCTATATAACACATTTTTATAAATTTATGGATAAAAAAAAATTTCTTTTCATATTCATTTCTTTGTAAAATGGCAAATAATAAATATCTCATTATAGTTGATTCACATTTTTATAATCTTGTAAATATAAAATTATTCTTGTAACTAAGCAGTCAAATAAATATTGTTTAATATCTTTGTTTTTAATTCAAGAATAAAGAAAAAGTATAAATCCACTTTCATGATTGGGTTTTATTAAATTCTAATCATCACTTTTTAAAATAAACATTGCTGAGGGCATTAAAAGTGTATACAGTAAACATTTTGCTTAATAATAATAATAATAATAATAAAACTATAAAAAAAAATGTAAAATATATGAGAATGCTGTTTTCCAAGAGATATGAGAATAAGATTTTAGGAGAAGGAACCAGAAACCCAATCCTAAACAGGAAACAAGGGATAAACCACTACTCCTGTTCAAAAGATGGGAGGGTGTGAAACAGGTGATAGGCAAATCTATCTACTCCTATTACGGAAGGAGAAAAAAAAATGAAATAACTAGAGAATAAAATTTCAGCCATAGACATCGGAAACCAGGTATAAACCACGACTTCTGTTCAAAAAAACTGGGGAGGGGTATGAGCTGGATGATAGGTAAACCTGTCTACTCCTATTGAAGGAAAAGAAATGAATGAATAGTTAATAAAATTTCAGAGTTTGGGCAGAGACATTAGAAGTATAGAGATAGGTGAATCTATTTACTCCTATGTTACTTTAGAAAGTGTGAAACCAGCCACCATGTAGTGTTGATTACTACATTCACCCTGTTTTATATATATATATATATATATACACACACATTTATCATCAACCTCTATTGACTTTTCTCCTTTCTTTTCAGCAATGGTGTGGGGCGAAGTGGCACCTTCATCTCCATCTATGCAGGCGTTCAGGAAGTAAACTGTGCCAATGGCATGCTTGATGTTCAAAGTCTTGCTCAGAAAATGATGTGCAAACGCAGATATATCATCCGAGATAAGGAACAACTCAAGTTCTGCTATGATGCCATCTTGTATCATGCCGAAGACCTTCTTATGAAACGTGAGTTTCTTTTCTTGCTACTGCTTTAACCACATGATTTTTTTTTCTCTTATCAAAGCAGGTAGAATCGAGCATTTTTTTTTAAAGCAATTTAATAGTAGATAGGTTTGCTTATTGTCTGATACACACTTCTCCCAGGTCTTTTGAACAGAAATAGAGGTTTATCCCTTGTTTACTATTTAGGATTGAGTTTCCAGTTCCTTCTAAAGTCTACTTCAACTCTACACTTCTAACTCAGCCTTAACACTGAAATGTTATTCACTAATTCAATCTTGACCTCTTCAAGTCTAGGGTTAGCCATTATCTTTTCTGCATAGCCCCAAGAACTTCACTTCTTGCCCTTTCTTATGCTAACACAACTCCACACAGGAACACTTTACCTTAAGTGGCTCTTGGGCCTTGTATTAAGTGAACATTAAAAAAAAATTATTAACATATATAAAGATTGGTAAGAAAAGTAATGCCTGTTTATTCTTTAATTACAACAAATTTAATTGTTTGGTAATGTTTAGGGTTGAACATTACTTAGTTCCACCAGTTCTAACCTCTGCAACTAAAAGCTACCATACTATGCACATTGTAGTGAACCACCCTCATTCCTGTGTATTCCATTGGTGAGATGTAAGTTCTACTCAAGCAACTTTCCACAAACTGCTATTTTGTGGAAATTGACTCTTGAGAGGATGCTTCCCCAATCACTACAATCCTAACCTGTTCAAGTCTAAGGTTAATTATCTTCCACGCATATCTGCATAAACTCTCTACCTCTAGTGACTCTCGAGCCTTATTCCGAGTGAACAGCTAGGCATTAATCAATATCTGCTTCAGATGGAATCTATCCACAGTCTAGGAACTGACTTTTCTAGCAGGCCTTTGAGTAACCAAGAGATTGCACTAAAATACAGATACTAACATGGCTCACCTGAAGGCTTTCACAGAGTTTTGCAATAATGATTCTTTTACAGCATCAATCTGGACTTATTCAGAGCGGCTCTGGCTTACCACTAAGCTTACTTTCTTCTTTGGCAGTTCTTACATTGCCATTAAATCAGCTGACTCACCTCCTGTAAACATTTGCAGTACTTTCTCCTTTTCAAAAATAGAAATTCTATGATAGGTCTTTGCTTTTTACGTGTGTTCAAAAGGGTCGACATTTTGAAAAGTATTAAGGAAAGGAAAACAGAAAGTAACTTTTTCCTCTTGGTTTTTATGGCTTATAGCTTAAAAAAGAAAAAAAATTCTGAGTTAAACTTTTAAAATTAGAATACATATTACTTATTGATCAACTGCCAGTATTTTTATAGATTCGTTCTGTTAAGTTACTAATTTTTATAGTAATTACTTACCACTGACATTTATCATTTGTTGTGATTTTCAATGCATTTCTATTGCAAAGTGAGTAATGTATTTACATTAGAACTATAATCTGTGAGTAATGTCTGCTCACAAATAATACCTGATTTTCAGTACCTGCTGAAATAGGGTTAATCCTTAACAAAATTGAGTGCTTAATTATCAAAATTTTACTCCAAAAATATTTGGTTGGCATAGAAAGAGAAATCAAGTTATGGTATAGTCAGTAGATAGTAGTAAGAAAAATTAAAACTAGCTTGCTTTTACTAATATTGATTCCAATCACTGGGAATGTCTGCTACACCCCCTCCCCATATTATGCCGACGCATGTTGGAAGTTGTTGTTGTTTTTTTTTTTTTTTTTTTTTTTTTAATCAATAAAAAGAGATAAGTTTTAGTCTTATCCACACATTTGTTTTTTCAGTCTTACCTTGAAGTCAGATGGCTATAACCACTTGACTTTGCATATAAACATTGTTTCTTTTTTTTTTTTTAATGTCTCATAGTTGCTTTGGCTTCTATTTCATTTGTTCATTTCTTGTATTGTTTTGCTCTGTTTGTATTATTATTTTTACTATTATTGGGAATTTTGTCAGTTTCACAGTCAAAATTAAATGCAGTCAATATCAAAATACAACTGTGGATTATTTTTTTTTCTTTCATTAGAATTTACAATGTTCCTGTAGATGTAATTGTTGGAGTGAATAAAAGTCCTGATATAATAAGTCCCCCCCATATTATTACAGGTTATATATATATATATATATATATATATATATATATATATATATATAAAAAAGAAAGCTCACATGATGATTTTGTAATGGTAGCTTAGATGTGGCACAAGGCCAAAAGTATGGGACACCCAGTGAGGATTGAATTCACTATTCAGTCATAATTGTTCTAGCAACGTTGATTTCAATGTCTACACAATACAGTCTGCTCTCAAAAAATGTCTACACACTTCATTGTTGTATCAAATTGGGATAACACTGTTTACTGTAGTATGGTACTTTTGCAGAAAACTGACTACATTGTTGACCCTTAGACCAGAAATAGATTTCGGCACATGAATTTTCAATCTGAACACTTTAGCCAACATTGCCCCAGTAGTAGTACTCCATACTAATAAACTAAAAGCCATTATTTTGAGCATCTTTTGTGATTGTAAAGTCCAATCATAACTTGTATTAATCTCCTGATGTCTGAATAAATTTAGTATTACAATATCTATTCAAGTTTTTTCCTTTCCTGAAGTGTGTACACATATTTTTGGCATATATATATAAATTTTTTTTTTTTTCCTAAGGTTGACATAAAACTCCATATAGGAAAGTCCAGTGCAATGATGTCAATTTATGTATAAATATTTCCTATTGTTCAATGTCAAACTTTTGTATGTCAACTGTAGGAAAAGAAAAAAAATTTTAAACCAAAAAAATCTACATTTGCTATGTTGATCTCTCTCATGAGATTAATTATGTACTAATGCCTTTAAGAAAGGCATGAAACCATTTGCCTTTGAGCTGTATCATGTTGCCAGATATTTTAACACTGGCATATTGTGAGGTTGTGTAGCACTTCAGGAAGCAATTGTCTATGCAGTAGCAAGGAACACTTTATTTCTATTGTTTATCTTGACAAGGTGAAATCATGTATCTTTATTCTCTAATCTTGATTTTCACACCACAGGTGGTATCCTCACCAACAAAGCTTCGTTTGGAGACAAACTACCCAACCGGGGTGGTAAGACTCACCAGAGAAAACCCTCTGAAGACCTGATCCTCTCAACAGTTCAAAGCCAACTCTCTAAGGATTCCAAAGGCAACACAAATACAAACAACGAAGCAAATGACACAATACCCAAGGTAGATAACTTAAACAACACAGATGGAAACTCCGCCCCACCTGATGTAAGCCTTGTAAACTCATCACTCCCAGACTTAGTACAGCAACAGTGTCATATCAGCCACTCCGACACAGAAACTGGTACTGACTTTGATGTACATAGTGAAGGTCCAACCCAGACTCGTAGCCGGTCGGGTTCTGGTTCTTCGGCCAAGAGCCTTGGCACTTCTGGGGGCGGTAGTGGCACTGGATCTGTGAGTAGCTCACCCCAGCACACTGGTGGGAACAGGGTCCAATCCCAAACAAAGAATGTGCCTCTCTCTTTGGCACAGCTGCAGAATCCCAGCACATTTACCTTGGAACCAACAACTGGGCGAAAGAAAATTACTAAATCGAGTTTTACCAATAAGACTAGTTCCATCACGGACAGTATGAATGACCCAGGAGACCCACTTAGCTCTCTCGATCCACTGTGGTCGATCAACAAAAAGGAAGACTCTTAAATTTGATCAGCTTTCATTAATGCTGTTTTTTTTTGTTTATTGTTGTTTTTTTTTTGGTTTTTTTAAATCATGCTCTTCATTTGTACCTTGCAAGTTTTTTTTGTTTTTTTTTTTTTTTGTTCAGTGCTGCTTCCAAAAAAAAAAAGCTTAACTAATAATGGTAGTAATCTAAAAAAATATTGTCTCATTTAATAGAATTCAAATTGCGTTAAAATGCAATCAGTTCTACAAACCAGATGGTCTGGGAGGTCATTGTAGCACCGCTGACCTCTTGGCAATGGTTTAGAAATGTAGAAGGAGGAGCAAAGGATCAAATGGGTGGAGCACTTTTGTCTTTCTTCCACTTTATCAGGTGAGTGCAAAAATTGTCAGTTGCTCTTCTGAAAACTTGGGCAACATTGAAAACTTATTTTTCACTGGAAACACTTGCACACATGCACACACGTCAAACCACTTTCTGTTGACTACTGGTCATTGTACTTAAACTATTTCACCCAGCACACACATTGAACTGATAGTGCCAAGTTGAGTGGGGTTAGAATTTTCTAGCAATTTTGTGAGTAGTATAACCAGTTTAGAGACTATTAGTCTCAATGCAATATTAATTTTATTTTTGGTAGATCACATGATGTGAGTAGAGGTGAAGTAAAATTAATATTTCACTGACCAAGTCTAAATTGGTAGCACCACTCACAACATTGCTACAGATATCACAAACATTTTAACCATCCGATGTGGCAGAAGCATTTCAGTACATCTAAAGAATTCTGGTTAACTTACTAAATAGAAACACTTGGATGTAAAATTTGGGAGAATTTGGAACAATTGTTCCATCTGTTGCTAGACATGTCACACATCTCTCTCACAAATAATTGAGACATTATTTTTTTTTTTTTTTAAATTGCTATTATTACTACTGTCAAAAATAGTTGTTACTTTTAGTGTACAAAGAATATGCAAATATTATGGGACAGCAGTTGTATTATTATTTGTGTGAGTGTGCCGAACAGAAAAAGAAAATGATAGTAATTTAAGAAAAATTGGCTCAAAATATTTTAACAGAATTGAAACTGTTTAAAAGATTACCAAATCCCCAACGGGGGTGGGGGGTATGGGCTGTAATGACATTGTAGCTCCTCTGACCAGTCAATATAATGTGATCAGATCAAATCACTTTGTAACTTGCTGACAGCACAGGCTGTCTATCATGTGATGTTTAGGTCAGGTTACTCCACCAAACTCGTCAGGGGATCAATTCTAAGAATTTGTTAAAGGGGGCAAGTAGCTATTCTTGAGATTTTCAGTTGAGAAAATCATTAAGAGTATAATGTTAAGATTACTGCCAATTGTTTGTTTTGCATAATAATCCGATTACATCTCATTTGTTTTTAATCTTTATATTCTATTGAAAATAACTCCAGTAATTTGTCTTCTGCTTACTGTGAAGAATTTTATATATATAGCGCAAGGCTGTTGATGACTTCTTCAATGATGTATGTTAATTACTTCATATTGATGGGTGTATAGCCAAGTGGTTAGAATATTAGCATTCTGATCATGAGATTAAAGTTCAAATCTCAACATGGTCGATTTGTCAAGATGGTGACTTCTTGATAATATCAGCCTGGAGAGATGATCCCAACAAGTGGCATCTAGGGGAATGTCTGAAAACCATTGACTCTAGCTTTGTGGGTGAAACTGTGCCTCTGAACAGTTTCATCTACCCAAAGTCACAAGTCGTCATGACTGAGGCTTACAGCATACTGGCTTTGGTCATGCCATATTTTTATTTATTTTTTTCTTTCTCTCATTATATTATGGAGATATTTAGTATATTTATTTTTTTGCATGGGTAGAAAAATTTTTTTTATAGCAATAAAAACAGACATTAAAAGAACAATCCTTACAGAAATATAATAATTAGAAATGGCTAAACCAGTTTATTGGTCCTCTCATCAAAGCAAAATTTGAGAACAAAAAAAATGTACAGCCCCCTCTGACTAGTGTTATTATACAAATAAAACATTAGACTCCTTGTACTTACAGAGAGATGGTTGGAATCCGTATCCCAACCATCTTTCTGTAAGTACTCAGTTATTTACTCAGCACTTTTTTTCTTTTAATAATCTGGTGAATCATTGAAAGTACTTGTTGTTGTTTGTTTTTTTTGTGTCAAAGACATCCTACACTAAAGTCCAAAATAGAAGGGGAAGATGGAATAAAAAAAAAAAAAAAAAATTCCTTTTTGGAACTTTTGTGAAAAGCAAACAAGTTAGGAAACAAAAAAAAAAAAAGTACAAAATAAACAGGGGTGTCTGGCGTAACAGTGGAGATGTTGGAAAAGTGTCAATTTAAATAACCAGCCGTGTCCATCTATTGCAGACATGAGTTAACTGCTCGCCCTAAGATGATCTACTTGCGTCCAGCAAGCAAATAAACCTTAAAGACAGTTATCTCCCCCTGGTATCTCAGTTTATGACTGGTGCAGTTATCAGCTGTTTCTATGACTTTACAACAGAAGTGGTTGTTGATCAATTGTTTTTGCAATGTCATTTTTCTTTTAAGATATTTTCATAAATAATATAGTCAGACATTAGAACTTTCTCTTTAATATAAGGAAGTTCTTAAAAGAAAAATATAATTAGATGTACATTTTTATTGAAAAGAATATCTTATTTATATGAGCACTACTTTTGTGATACTGTTTTCCATATAGTTGGTTATCAGCCTTAAAATAAGTCAAGGTGAATTAGGCATACCCAGTTAATTTCCAGCTTGATTTTGTTTTGTTCATGCTGTCATTTGAAAAGGCATGAATCCATCTTCCCCCAACTATGGGTTAAGTAGCAGGGCAGACTAGCCTCTCTTGCCTTGAGGCAACAACCAGTGTAGGAGAAGGAAAACTAAATTCAAAATCAAAAAGGGTTAGGCTATCTCACCCTAGACATACCACTGCTGCTATGGTTTCAGCAAATGTGATGCCTCTACAACCCTAATAGGGTTACAAGACACACACTTCACAAATAAATAGTTTGGGCATGACCCTTATAGGCTGATACCCTGATCATAGGCAGGAATATCATTTGGCTATCAGTTTGAAGGATGAGTCAGTCAAGGTGATTTGAGTGTCACATTAGGTTTTATAGTTCATATTTGGCTGTGATGCATGTACCTGGTATATCAACCATATCAGATTTGATGTCATGATGGATATTATTGGGTTTTGTATATTTATACCTCAGTGTGTTGCACTTTCACTGAATAATAATATAGGGAATATGTTATTGTAGGAAAAAAAAATCTATTTATAATAATAATAAAGAATTGGTTAAAGAAAAAAAAAGTCAACCATTGCATTTCTGGAGGATAACTGCTTTTTAGATCAGCAATCTTTGTAAATAAATTGCTGAACATTAAGAAATAGAGCATTAACAGTAAACAAAATCCTCAAAACTTATCTTCTCATCTCATTTTCACAGATATTATCCAAACAACAAATGATTAGATAATTAAATTGAACTTATAATATTGTATGTATGTATGTATGTATGTATATATATATATATATATATATTATATATACACACACCCACACCTACATAAATACATACAATATATTTTTCTATGAAAATTTCTGACATTCAGGCCGGTAAACATTATTAATACTGTTTATTATAAACAAAGCATTTACTTAAATATTTGTATCTATAAAAAGAAAATATATATATACACACACACACAGTGAGTACTGGTGGTAATAAAACCGTGCTCAATGTAAAATTATACTACTAATAAATATACATTTTGTTCCAAACATGGCCTGGATTGAAAACTGACTGTTGTAATATTAATATAACCTACTGTTAGAATAGAAGAACAGTTCATTTACTAATGAATTAAAGAAATAAAACCAAATAGATTAGGAAAAAAAAATTACAAACATATTGTCACACATCAAATGTGCCTGGCAATTGCTATATTCATGAAACTAAGTTGTACCAAAGGTGTGTGTGTGTGTATATATATATATATATATATATATATATTGTGTGTACAATGAAAATGAATAGCATACCCTTCCAACACTTGTAACATTTAATTTAAAAGAGGGCTCAATACATAGAGCAATATTATTTATTTTAGGATATTAAAAACAAAAACATGTAAGAATCTCTATACAATTGCAGCAGTGTTTCAAATAACAAGTGATTATAAATAAATTAATCAAACCAGATTAATTGTTCACTCACCAGTAATTTACAATTGCCTGAGGAGACGCATCATTGTGTTGAAACATAACTACAGTTGTGTAGCGATTTTTTTTTTTTTTTTTTTTTTTTTATTATATATATATATATAGTGGGGCACCTTGAGGTGGTGTAATGGTTAGCAAGCTTGTCTCGCTAGAACAGTTATGACCAAGTAGCGAGTTCGATCCTCGCTGGGTGCCCCATACTTTCGGCCTTGAGCCACATCTGAGCTACACTTGGAAAATCACTATATATATATGTGTGTGATTTTTGACATTTGTTTGTATGCAAAATGCTATATTTTCAGTAAGAACCATAATGGGAAACAGCTTTTTTGACAGCTGTTTATGCAAAGTAGACCCTCCCCGCTTAAAAAAATTAAATTGCAGAATGAGTGGTGGCACTTGATTATTGGTGATCAGTTAAACAATTTTTAAATATGATAGAATACTGAGAATTGTGGTTGTGACTCACTCCTCCAATAACGAAACATCAGAACAGTGATTTTTGGAAATGGTTCACACCCAAAACTTTTCAGCTTCTCTTCTCCATATGTGTGTGTTTTAAAAAAAAAAAAAAAAATTTAATGATTGTTTAACAGGAAGCAGAAAATTTATTTCAATGCATTTTCCCATAAAGTTAAGTTGAAATTAATTAGCCTCACCTAACTAGCACATCTACATTTGATCATATTGATTCCTGGAGAAAATTTTTCTTTCACCTGAACTCAATGGCATATTTTCATTTTCT